CATCTCAGGCAGCCTTTCAGGAACCCTTTAACGAATCCTTCGAAGAACCCCCGAGGGCTTAAAGGGAAACCCTTAAGCCGAAACACCTTTGTAACAAACCTGTAAAGGCCCGTTTTTGGATTTCTGTACTAAGCTTTGCTAAATTGTTAGCAAAAGCCTATAAGCCCAAACTGCAACCTTACTATAAAGCCCAAACTGCAACCTTACTATAAACCCGAAACCTTGCAGGAAAGCCATTTAACAGTCACGTCGATAGAATTCTAAATCCCCGAAGCCCTAAAATTAAAACCCGAAACCCCCAAACCCCAAATCTCCAAATCCCTAAACCGCAAATCCCGAAGCTTTGGAACCCCGATCCAAATCCCGAAGTCGCTAATCCCCAAATCCGGAAGTCTTTGTGTTTCTTCGCGAGGCTGCTTTGCTGGCCACGGCCCGGATGTCGACCTCGGCGTCTCGACGAAGAGAACAGACAAAGAGAACCCCAAGCTGAAGGGGTTTTAGGGTTTAGGGCTTAAATTAGGGTTTAGGGTTTCTTCAAGGACTCCTTGAACCCTAAGCCCTAAACCCAGGGTTTAGGGCTTGTAGGGTTTAGGGTCCTGCGGTCTTGAGCAGTGGCTTAGGGCTGAAGGTTTAGTGGTTTGAGGGGGTAGCCGGTATAGAGGATCCGTGAGGTTTAGGTTTTAGGGGTTTAGGTGTGTAGGCTTTGGGTGGATATATGGGTTTATCGTGTTTCTTAAGGGTTTGGTGGGGATTTTTTGGGATTTTTGAGGCAGCCAGAGACCTCCCTAGCCGGTTTGGGGTTTTGAGGTTTAGCCTTCCGGGTTTAAGCTTTGAGGCTTAATAACGGTTTTAGGGTTTAGGGATTACCCTAAACCCTAAACACTAAACCCTAAACCCTAATTAGGGTACTTAGGCTGTAGGTAACGGCCTAGGCTTAAGGGCTGATGGTCTCTTAGCCTTGGCGCAGAACAGCCAAACAGAAAGCACATGCAAAGCTAAAGACCGGACAGACTTTAAACTTTTATTTAAGGGCACCGTCATATCCTTCAAACCAAAATTTGACGTTTACTCTGCATTACCCAGATCTTTGAACTGGCGAGGGGTGTTTGGTTTGCTGGGGGAGTAATCCGGACACGCACACACACACACAAACAAACACACACACACACACACACGCACACACACGCACACACGCACACATGCACACAAACACGCACATCCTGAACCCTAAGACCCTAAACCGATGCAGGAACGTTCATCTAGGTCCTTTCAGGAGGCCCTTAAGGAACCCTTACCAGGAGCCTTCAACATTGGAAGGCCCTTGGCGTTATTCAACCCCTTATAATCTAGAACAGTCAGCGGCAACGTAGGAACCTTTGAAGAAACCTAAGCCGCGGACCCTGAACCCCAAAGCGCAAATCCCAAACCAAAAGCCTTGAACCCCCTTAAACTTAAGCCGTTAAGGAACCACCAGTACAAGCCGTAAGCGTAAGCCCTAGATATCTCTCACTGAACCTTTATAAAGATCTAGAATCGGAACCACAGGAACCCCTGAAGGAACCACCGAAGACTTCTCTGGGCCCTTGTTGGTTGCGCAGTTTTGTTATAATAAAACCCTAATAAGGATTAAAAATGATCAGTTTTTATATGGCCCCAACAGGGAACCCGTTATGATTCGACCTCGAGGTCGGTCTGCTGTGGCTTTGCTCCAGCTGCCTCTTCAACGTTAGCCGCAGCCTCAGACTGAGCTGAGAGTTGCGCCGCATCAGGTCTGCCTCTCTCTCTCTCTCTCTCTCTCTCGAACTCACTCTCACTCTCACTCTCACTCTCACTCTCACTCTCACTCTCACTCTCTCTCTCTCTCTCTCTCTCGCTCTCGCTATATATATATATATGTATGATATGTATGATATGTATGATATGTATGATATGTATGATATGTATGATATGTAGGTATGTATGTATGTATGTATGTATGTATGTATGTATGTATACAAGTATGTATGTATATATATATATATTTCATATAAACATACGTTTATGTGCAAAAGATGTATATATACATATATATGTATATGTATATGTATATGTATATGTATATGTATATGTATATATATATATGTCTGTGTGTACATAGCTAGGTATAAAAAAGCATAAACTTGTAATAGGCACTTACATTGTCATTCCGCAGGCTGAGAGACCGTAGGTCGCACCTAATTATCGCATTGACAAGTTAAAGCCATACATACATGCATACACGCATAGATACCTACCTACCTACCTACCTGCCTGTCCACCTACCTACCTACCTACCTACCTACCTACCTACATACGTACATACAAACATATACGGATCCATCCATCCCTGCATCCATCCCATCCATCCATCCATCCATCCCTGCATCCATCCATCCATCCATCCATCCATCCATCCATCCATCCATCCATCCATCCCTGCATCCGTGCATCCATCCATCCATCCACTCACCCAGCCAGCCATGCATCCATCCATTCATGCATCCATCCATGCATCCATCCATCCATCCATGCATGCATGCATGCATGGATGCACGTGTATGTATGTATATATATATATAGAGAGAGAGAGAGAGAGCGAGAGAAGAAAAACGAAAGAACGAGAGAAAGCGAGAAAGAGAGAAGGAGAGCAAAGAGAGAAAGAGCGAAAGAGAGAAAGAGAGAACGAGAGACAAGTATGGGGAATCATACGGTTGATGATATAAATCCTGCATTACCCATAGTAAGGATTATACCATTGTTTCCCATAGTTCAGGGTCCCTTAAGGTAATGCAGGATCTATATCATCAACAGAAGTATAAGGCTACAGGGCTCCTGCCGGTCCCTAAGATCATCGTTCGGTTCGGGTACCCTGCATGAAACATCCTCCTTGGTCCCACTTCAAGCGATTTGGCTCGTAAGGGTTTTACATACGCCTAAAGCTTTGATGGGTCCTTCGAAGTAGGCTCAGAATAAGTAAGGAAAGTTTGGGTGTCGTCCACTATTGGATTGTTACTCCAGCGAGGCACCTCAGCCCAAACCCCTGAATCAACAACCAACCTTAAGGACGAAATGACCCTTAAAAGTAGTGGCCCTATATCCTTATACTATGACTCCCTATATGGGATATGAACCCTAAAACCTTTAGGGTTCATTTCGTCCTTAAGACCCAGGCCAGCCGCTTGCAGAACATCCCACAAGTTACCCTCAAAGCCCAAACCCTGCGGTTTTGCCAGGATCCCCGAATGCACTTTAATGGAGCCCCTATGGTCCTAACCGTGGGCATTTAAGGCCCTTAAGGGTTTAGGGTTTAGGATTTAGGGTAGGCATATTGCAGGGCGGTTGGGGGGGTCTAGGTACACCACAAACCGTTTAAAACCGATGTCTGCTAGGTCTCCTGCACACGTCAGCACCGCCCTCAGGGAGCAAGCGTCATGGTGAGCAAGTCTAATTGCTGGGTTTAGGGTTTAGGGTTTAGGGGTCTAATTGCTGAGGGCGGCACGTCGGAGTTTAGAATTGTTACCACAATGTTCCCTCACCCTATTGTTGCTGGTTATACATTACCCTGAGGGTCCACAGGACCCAGTAATCAGCTGCTCGGTTTTAGGATGGTGGTTATGTAGGTTAGTCTCTTGGGGAGTTGGGGAGTATGTGATTACTAGGTACTTGGGCCACTCTGGGGTTAGATGATCTAGTGCCTTCTGCTGAAGCCCCTGACCGGTGAGAGATATCTTCGAGTCCGTTTGGACTTGATGCGGATCCCACAGGGGTCCGAAGGACGTAGATAGTAGAAAGTAGGGTTTGTATAGCAGGAATTGATATTGTTGATGACATAAGTCCTGCATTACCTTAAGGACCCTAAACTATGGGAATTATGGTATATTCCTTACTATGGGTAATGCATGCTTTATATCATCAACCCTACTACGGTTTGGGTAAGTAACTATGCCCCAGAGAGGTGCTTAGGGCCTTTTTGGGATTCATCAGGGTTTAGGGTTTAGGGCACATGCGATGATGCGTCTAGGCTACAGCTCGCAGTAGCAGGCCTTAGAGAGCCCTCCGGGTCCAGGGACCTTTTAAGGTTCCCATAAAGAGGTGAAGGGTTTTGGGTTCTGGTTTTAGGGTTTAGTGTTTTTGGGTTTTGGTTTTAGGGTTTAGTGTTTTTGGGTTTTGGTTTTAGGCTTTAGTGTTTTTGTGTTTTGGTTTTAGGCTTCAGTGGGTTTTGGGTTTTGGTTTTAGGGATTAGTGTCTAGGGTTTAGGGTTTAGGGGTACCATAGAGGTTCAAGGCTAGGTCCATGTACCCACATCGTCTACACTTTGACCCGAAGTACATATCTAGGGAACATTAAGGCCAAAGTCTATACTACATGGCACTTTAAGGGGCCCTAAACCCTAAACCCAAACCCCTAAACCCTAAAAAGGACCCTAAAAGGGACCCTAATTTACTACATGGTTACATGGACTATCAGACCCCGGACCCCAAACCCGCATGGTACCCTTCTAGAACCCCTGAACCCTAAACCCTAAACGGGCCTAAACCCCTATTGGTACATGGACCCTTAAGGGAACCCTCATTGCAATCGCAGCCTCGGGGCTTCGGAAGGTCGAGTTCAAGCACAGGGCCTGAATTTAGGGTTTAGGGGTTTAGAGGTTTCAGGTTTAGGCTTTAGGGTTTGCGGTTTGCGGTATAGGGGTTTAGGCTTCAGGGTTAATGAGTTAACATAGGGTTGTAGAGTTTAGAACGCTGCGAAGCCATGCTGCGGGTTCGAACCTTCATCGCCAAAAGAGTATATTCTTTACACCTTTTTGGTGTAATCTACTCAATATAACCTCTCATCGAACCGAACTTTTCGGGGCTGATGAACTCGGCAACTAAGGAACCGTGTCCGGTGAAAGACTCCTTGACCTTGACTTGGCGAGCTTTCTTCAGACGCTCCCTGAAGGCAGGCATCCCGTCCGGGCATTGAAGCAGCACTTGCACAGAATGTGCGGACTGTCGAGGTTCCGGCAAAGGCTGGTATTCCTGGAAGAGGAGGATGATGTTGGTGGCGGTAATGTAGTTTTGGATGACGATCGCACCTTGAAACCCGGCGAAGTGCAGGTCGTTCTTCTACACTTCAGGCAAGCATCTGAGGCGCAAGTGCGAGCGCTTCGGGATGCTGCTGGGTTCGGTCTGATACAAGAAGTGGAGAATATTCTGCAAAGGCCCCAAGACCCAGATTTACCACTTTTTTGGTGTGATCGGACCCCACTGATTCTGGCAGCCGTGCTCGGCCACCTCGAGGTCGCACGCCTTTTGCTGGAGGCGAATGCGGACAAGGACAAGGCCATGAAGAATGGAGCCACCCCATTGTACATGGCAGCTCAGAATGGGCGCTTCGAGGTCGCACGCCTGTTGCTGGAGGCCAATGCCGACAAGGACAAGGCCGAGCAGGGTGGTGCCACCCCATTGTACATTGCAGCACGCTGTGGACACTCGGATGTTGTACGGCTGTTGCTGGAGGCCCATGCGGACAAGGACAAGGCCAATGATCATGAAGTCACCCCTTTGTTCATTGCAGCTCAGGAAGGACAGTTGGAGGTGGCACGCCTGTTGCTGGAGGCGAATGCGGACAAGGACAAGGCCGATGTTAATGTTTTCACCCCTTTGTACATTGCAGCTCAGAATGGGCGCTTCGAGGTCGCACGCCTTTTGCTGGAGGCCAATGCGGACAAGGACAAGGCCACGCAGCATGACGCCACCCCATTGTTCGGTGCAGCAAGCTGTGGACAGTCGGATGTTGTACGGCTGTTGCTGGAGGCCCATGCGGACAAGGACAAGGCCGATGATCATGGAATCACCCCTTTGTACATGGCAGCTCTGAAAGAACAGTTGGAGGTAGCACACCTTTTGCTGGAGGCCAATGCGGACATGAACAAGGCCATGCGGGATGGCACCACCCCCGTGCACGTTGCAGAGCAGAGCGGGAACTTGGAGCTTGCACTCCTTTTCCAGGGATCAAACACGCGGAAGAGCAAAAGAAAAAGGTTGCTGTAGCGAGGCTCAGCACTTGGACTTTGCTGGTCTTTTGCGGGAATGCGATGCGGACAAGGACAAGGTCTTCCATGATGGTGCGACCCCTCGGTCATGCTTGTGAGCGGAGAGAGGTGGAGGTTGCACGTATTCTTGTGTTGGAGGCAAAACACAGCTGTGCAGTGCCTGTGTTGCTCCAAGAACCTGCTGTGCCACGAACTTGTGCATCACATAGTTTGTTGTATGCACCATATACAGTGGCTCCCAAGCGACATTTTGGAGCACCATAGAGTTTTTGTTTGAAAGCCACTAACCCCATATAAACCATCTAAACTCCCTTGTACTCTAGACGGCTATGCAACAACCTGATCAGAAACCCTCAACCCTAAAACCCCAAACCCTAAACCCTTAACCCTTAAACCCTGAGCCCTAAACCTTAATCCCCCAAACCCCTCCAACTCTGAATCCTTAGGCCCAATCTAAGGCTCTGACGCATTTTCCTTCATGTTAAATACAGCTATACTTAGTGTCTATACATATTAAGGCCGCTATGGCTTTTGTGCCCAAACCTTCTAATATCCCTCCATCAAGGAATTTACCTGAAACTATAGTAGGGCCTTTAATACGACTTAAGCTGCATCTTTACATTAGGTATATTGGAAGGTTTGGGTGCCCTGGTCGGAACCAACACTAAGGTTACAAAAAGCAACTATATTGAGAATTACTCATTACTTATAGCCCCAATTAAGGTAGTTAACCGTACCCATAGGCTCCTGAGTAGTTCCTTTTTGTGGGATATAATTAGGATCCTATAAAGTAATCCCAAAAAGGAACTACAGTGGAGCCTATAGGTACTTGCTCAGTCCCATGGTTGCTTGAATGAGGTCGCAACCAATACTGTGCTTTCTTCGACTTCGTCGGTTCGACCCCCGGCTGTTTACTGGGTCCTGAAGTACCGGACTTGAGGACCCTTTCTGAGGACCTGCTCCTTAAACAAACCGTTATGAAATCAAGGTATATGTACTTTCTCTCTACCCAGTAGCCCAGTTAATCAAGCCCAGTTAATGAACCACCCAGAGACGCCGAAGGTAGCGAATGAAGGGACATGTTATTTAGATGATGGTAGGGACCCTTCATGAAGTGCGGCTGACTGAAGAATATGGGGGTCTTGGGTTTAGTGTGTACAGCCCTGGGTGTTCACGAGTTTAGAAGGTATTGGAATGTAGGGTTTTGGATCTATCTAGGGTTTGAGGTTTAGGGTTTGGTGGCGTAGAGAAATTTCTGTGCAGCGTGCCTGTGCTGGTGGTTCGGGTAAGTTTTGTGTCTTTGTTTTATATTACTGCATGGTCATCGATGGTTCTGGATTTCGGCTATGCTGTAGGATCTTTGACGAGTCCGACACGCCAAAAGCCCTGTTCTCATAGTAAAATAACCCACCCTGGACCACCGTTCTCCGGGAATATTCCCGGTAAACTAGTAAGTGACCCACTTTCCCCCGCAAACTCCCGCAAATGACTCACTTTAACCTGTTTTACTTGTGTTACTGGAAATCCCTTTTTTCATATGCTTTTGAAGAAAATCCATATTTTTTGAAGAAAATCCATACATGCATGTTCATGTCCATGATTGCATTCCATGTCATGCATGTCATGTCACTTTGAGCTTTGCTGCCTGATTGCATGCAGTTGCTTGCACGAGTTTGGTGCATCATCGGAGTTGCCGCAGAATTGCCATCGGCCATCGCAAGTTCATAGCACGAGCATATAATTCTATACCATATGCATGCATATTCATGTTACAAGCCATTCATGGATGCCTCTGCCATGGCTTTCGGATTTTGCAACATGTATTGCTATAGCACGAATGTATTATACCATATGCATGTATACATAGTTACAAGCCACATACCACGAACACACATGCATGATTTAACTTCGCATGGATGCCTGTGCCATGGCTTTGGAATTTTGCTATGTATAGCTCATGGAGGCCGGGGCTTTGTGAGAAGTGCTACTCAAAGACTCAGTGTTGCGCAGCATGCATGCAGGCAGCCATTGCTTTATGGAGGTTGAGTGGACGGAGGCTGGGCTTGCATCGATTGTGCAGGACTCCCATGTCTTGGTCCGTGTACTTCGATTGGAGGTTGGATCAAGGCTTTTTCTTGCATACATGTCCTCCATGCATGCAGTAGGTCGAAGCTTTATGGTTGATTGAGCACAACAGTGAACATGTCGATGAAGCTGTAGTGGTCATGCATGGACTAGGTCGAAGCTTCATGAGCACATGTGCTACACCCTACACCCTAAACCTCTATGCCCCTAAACCCTACACCCAGTGAACGTGTCGATGAAGTTGTTATGCTAGTAGAACTGGCCTCCGGTCAATATTAATTTTCTAGAACGAGAACTTGGCAGTAGCCTGCAGTCGTCATGGAGCTTGCCATGGTACCACTGAATCCCTCGGATGCTGAAGATCTCGAGAAGGAATCCTCTACGGATCTGGCTAGGGCCTGGGAGAAGGACGCCGGCATGCGCAGACGTGCGCGTAGGGTTGAGTTCGTAACATGGAATGCATGGAGTAATCATGTGCATGGTTTCCTTGTGTCTGAATTGTGCATGCATGTGTCTGTCGATTGCATTTCCCGAGGTTGTTTGGAGTGGCAAAAGCATCACGCGAGACACCATTAAATGCAACCAGTACTTGTTCTGCCAAGCATACAAGCACTGCTCTCATCGCGTGGCGATCGACACGCTGGAGGTCCATGTTAAGTCGTTCTTTGATCTCATGTCCGTTGCTGGTGTCACGAGTGCCTGTCTCTGCATGTGGAAAGCCTTTTGATTAGCAGGTTGCATGCATGCATGTTTAATCTATAGCTAGCATATATTACATATCATGTCCGACCTACATATATATATATATATAGATAGCTTGCATGTACTTTCCAGAGAACACTTAGGTGAATTCGTGAATCGCCAAGCTTGGGGGATCCGACGCATGCTCACTGTTTTTCATGATATCATCCGGAGGGGGCACCGGCCTCGCTGCGAAGGGCTCCGGCGAGTGATGCAAGCAGTCGGAATCCCTATTCCGTTGCAGGAACGGGTGCGCCACTCCATCGACTCCGCCACGGAAGACGAGGACTCCGAAGCCATGGACGAGGGTGTCGAGGAGGAGTCTGGTACAGACGACGAGTGTGTGATGGAGGATGAGGTCCCAGCCGTTCCAGGTGGGGTCTTTGTTGCAGAACATGTCATGACATGCATATTCTTGCCATGTTGAAGGAGCTGTGGTCCGTGACCTCGGCAATGACTCCCAGTTGCCCCCTGAAGTGCTTTGGCAGCAGTTTGCAGAAAGACACCTTTTTTAAGAAGCTGCCCTCGCCCCAAAGCTGTGGCAGCACTAGGAACTCCTGTCAGGAACCGGAGACTCCACCTGGGCCATCCTGTGATGCTGTGCCTTGGCTTCTCATGCATGTGTTTTTGCATACTACTTGTGCTTGACATGTTTCCTGGCAGCAACAGTTTGTCTTAGGAGCCGGAGATTCTTGCTGCTCCAGTGTTTGATGCTGTGGCTGGGATTTTGCATATCATGGCATGCATGTCTTTGTGTCCGCGTGAACATGCATCCATGCTGAGGTACTGGAGCAGGCACTTCCTCCAGAGCACGAACCTGTTGCTGGGATTCCATAATTTCATGCAAGCTTGCATGAGCATGTGCATGTACATGTGCCTAATTTGTGGCTTGACCATGCCAATGATGACATGCATGCTTCGAGAAGGTCTCCCAAAAGACACCAGAGGAAGCCTCCACGATCATCACGCCTCCCAAGAGTAGCTTGGCATATATATATATACATATACTAAATAAATTAATTAAATTAAGTAATAATATGGATGTGTGTGTGATACTCATATTTTCGGGAATAAGGGTTCGGGGTTTAGGGTTTAGGGTTTAGGGGTTTAGGGTTTAGGGTTATATTGTGTATATATATATAGTATACATATATTACTCAGGCCATGCGCCAGAGATCTACGTGACTCCACCGGGCAAGGACATTCCACTACATGTGTGAACAGCATGTGCTTGCATCATGGCATGAGACCATGGATCCGGTGCCCATACAGGTTCAGCGGGAGAAGAGGGTGACGTATCTCGAGAACCTGTTGCGGCAGCTTCAGATGCTGCAGACGCTGAAGAAGCTCCAGCACCTCAAGTCGATGGATTGCAAGAACAATGTGCCGGATGCTGTGCACGAGCATGGGCCTGTCCTTGCTTACGGCAGCTTGCGAGCATGTTCATGACAAATCTTTCCATAAGCCGGGGATTGGACACATTGCAACCTGATCGCTAAAATGTGGATTTACATGTAGACCTAACTGCTTGCATGTACTCATGAACATGTGGCTTCGGAGACTACCTATATGAATACCGGCCTGATCCTTTCCTGCATGTTGTTTATCTTCCAAGGCACCGATGACATGGAGACCCAGGTGCTGGCTGCTGTGCCTTGGATTGCATGCACTGAGAGGATAGGCGATCAGTGTCATGGCATGTCCTGCATGACATGAACATAACAAATAAAGATATTATTATATATATATATACATATGTATACAATATATTCTGATTAATATATATATATA